ATTAACTTCCTTTTATTAAGTATTAAGCTAACTGACGGAGAGTCACTTTAACATTCCTATGTGACATGCTAAATTATTTATTTTTTATTATTTAAAATTAATATTTATAAATAAGTTTCTTAATACATTTTACATAATTGCAAATCAGTCCTTTCTCTTCCCTCTTCATCACTTTGCACACCCTTCCTTCTCCCTTCCCCCTCTTTTTTCCCTTACACTCCTCCTCACCCTTGGAAAGTCAAATATTATGTTTTAATTGGTCATGTGTGTTATTGTGCTTTGGCTATAATGATTCCAGTGATACATACAACATATTGACACTGGTTATGGAGTAGAAAATGGGGTGGAAGAGAATGTGAGGTTGGAATAAGGGTGCGGGGTGGTGTTGGGAGGAGGGTAGTGGAGAATGGAGTGAGAAAGAGTGTGGAGTTGGAGTGAAGGTGTGGGATGGAGTGTTTAGAGTGGGTAAAGTGGGGGAAAAAGGTGTGGGGAGGGGAGAGGGAAGGGTTACCGGAAGAGGGTGGGGTGTAGGGGGTGAGGGAGTGGTTAGGAGTGGGGTGCCACGATGAGGTGGGAGAAGGGATTATGGGAATGGGTGCTGGAAAGGGGTGTGGGGAAGAGGATGGAAAGGGGTGCAGGAAAGATAAAGGAAAAAATTTAGATGAGCTTTTATACAATTATATAAAATATGTTCAAGGACTTATTTGTAATTATATAATTTTAAATAATAAAAAAATAAATGACATAGCATGCCACGTGAGAGTACTGAGCTGATTTTTCATCAACTAGCTCAGCACTTAACATAAGGAAGTTGACGGCAATGACAGAATCCTAACTTTATAACTTTTAAAGGATTAAATCCTAACAAAAATTTTATAAGGACTTATCACAAAATAATCAATATTTATAGGGACTAAAAACATAATAAGCTTAAAATAGAAATCTTCTTAAAGGTTCATAAAATTTTATGTAGTTTTGAATTTTAAAATTTAAATTGTGTCATCAATGTTTGACCTATTTAAAATCTAGCAACTTCTTAACTAACCGAAAGGTAAACAAATGCACATAAATAACAGAGAAAAAGACAATTGTCAAATAAGAAAGAGAAGGCGAGTTAAGTAGTAGGTACACGATTAGGTTTTAAAAATTGGCCAGGCAATTAATTCTCCATAAATTGAAACAAACACATTTATTTTTATGCTTTCCAACGGTAATAAAATAGAAATCTTTTGGCTTAATTATGTTTTTGATCCCTATAAATATAGTCATTTTTGTGATTAGTCCCTATAAATATTTTTGTTAGGAAATGGTCCTTCTAAAATAGGAAATTAGGAAATGGTCCCTACCGTTAATCTCCCTTTTGTTAAGTGCTGAGCTGGCTAACAGAGAGCCAGCTCACCACTCCACATGGCACCACGTGGCCATTTTGAAGCCCAGTCATAGTCTACGTGGCATGCCATATCATTTATTATTATTTTATTTAAAATTAAAATTTGCAAATAAACCCTTGAACCTATTTTATATTATTGCATAAAAATCTTTCTTCTTCTACACACCAACACCTCTCCACCATCCCTAGCCCGACTCGTTTCCCTATGGCCACTCCCTCCCCTTCTCCCTCCCCTTCTCCCTCCTTACACAACCACTCTCTCCCCTTCTTCCTCCTTAGACAGCCACTCCTCCCCTTCACCCACACACTCCTACCCACACCCACACCCACACCCACACCCACACCTTCTTCTTCCTCTTCCCTACACTCTACTTTCCTCACCCCAACCCCAACTCAACTCCAACCTCTACTATCCTCCCAATGCCCACACTTTCATTCCCATCCACTCCACTCCACCCCCTCTCCCTCTCCAACCCACCTTGTCCCACTATAACCCCACCCCCACACCTCCCCACTACCCACTCCATCACCCCATCCCTCTCCTTTTCCTCTTCACTACCCACTCCATCACCCCATCCCTCTCCTTTTCCTCTTCACTACCCACTCTATCTAACCCCTTCCTCTCGTTGGTGTTGGAATTGACGTGTAGCTTGATGTCTTTTTTTTGACACTATTCGATCTCTTAGATGACAAAGAGAATGTGCTGGAAATATTGGCGAAAAATCCTTTGCTTGTCTTTCTTCTTGATTTTGAGGAGTAACGTGGTGGCGGCGGTGTTGTTGGTCCATGAGAGCTTGGAGCCGAGAAAGGTGTCGTGGGCGGTGTGGTTAGGGTCAAGATGGAGGAAGATATCGGAGGGATTGGGCCCAGAGAAGAGGTTGGTGAAATCGGAGTCTTGGACGGAGGGGAGAGAGTCGACGTAGGTGAGGATTTTGTGGTACAATTGGTTTTTTTTGAAAATGGTGATTATAGAGTGGGATTTTGAAGGATTGATGAAGGTGGAGACGATTTTCGAGTGAGATGATATGAGAAATCCAAAAAGTACACAAAGGTTCCAACTTTTCATTATTTGGAGCAAAACCCATATGCTTTCCAACTTTTCATGCTTGGGACCAGCACCACTTGAAAGACCAACATGATAAGATGAGTGGTGTGAATGGGTTGGTAACAAGCCTGAGATGTGAAAGAGAAAATTCTCTGGGTTCAATTGATTGGAAGCTACTTAAATGGACCCGTTCTGGAAGCTTGTCTTCTCGAGGTTCAGGTTTTAGCCACTCAAGTAGCTTAAGAAAAAAGAAAGAAAGGGATGCTTGAAAGGGGTTGTGAGGAAGGGGGAAGGGAAAAGGAAGAAGGGGTGCTTGAAGTGGGTTGTGAGGGAGGAGGAAGGGAAAGGGAAGAATGAGTCTTGAAGGAGGTTGCGAGGGCGGGAGAGGGACTGTGGAGAAGAAAGAAAGAAAGTTACAAGGGTTTTTATGCAATTATATAAAATGGGTTCAGGAGTTTATTTACAAATTTTAATTTTAAATAAAAAATAAAAAATAATAAATAATGTGGCATGCCATGTAGACTGTGACTGAGTTTCAAAATGACCACGTGGCGCCACGTGGAGTGCTGAGCTGGTTCTCCGTTAGCCAGCTTAGCACTTAACAGAAAGGAGATTAACGGCAGAGACCATTTTCTAATTTCCTATTTTAGAAGGACCACTTCCTAACAAAAATATTTGTAGGGACTAATCACAAAAATGACTATATTTATAGGGACCAAAAACATAATTAAGCCAAAATCTTTTTAAAGGTTCATAAAAATTTACACATTTTTCAATTTTAAAATTTAAATTGTGTCATCAATGTTTGACGTATTTAAAACCTAGCAACTTCTTGTCGAATCGAAAAGTAAACAAATACACATAAATAACGGTGAAAAAGACAATTGCCAAATAAGAAAGAGAAGGTGGGTTAAGTAGTAGGTACACGATCAGATTTCAAAAATTGACCATGCAATTAATTCTCCTTAAATTGAAACAAACATATTTTACTTTTATGCTTTCCAAGGGTAATAAAATAGAAATCTTCTTAAAGGTTCATAAAAATTTACATAGTTGTCAATTTTAAAATTTAAATTGCGTCATCAATGTTTCATGTATGTAAAACCTAGCAACTGCTTGTCTAACTGAAAGGTAAAGAAACAGACAGAAATAGCGGAGACAAAGTCAATTGCCAAGTACGAAAAAGAAGATAGGTTGAGTAGTAGGTACATGATCAGGTTTTAAAAATTAGCCACGCAATTAATTCTCCATAATTGAAACAAACACATTTTAATTTTAATCTTTATAATGGTAATAAAATATAAATCTTCTTAAAGTTTCATAAAAATTAACATAGTTTTGAATTTTAAAATTTAAATTGTTCATAAAAATTAACATAGTTTTGAATTTTAAAATTTAAATTATGTCATCAATGTTTGATGTATTTAAAACCTAGCAACTTTTTATCTAACCGAAAGGTACGCACAGAAATAACGGAGAAAAAGACAAATGCCAACTAAGAAAGAGAAGACAAGTTGATTAGTAAGTACGCGGTTAGGTTTTAAAAATTGGTCACGCAATTAATTCTCCATAAATTGAAACAAGCACATTTTAATTTTATGCTTTCTAACAATAATAGAATAGTAATCTTCTTAAAAGTTCATAAAAATTTACATAGTTTTGAATTTTAAAGTTTAAATTGTGTCATCAATATTTGACGTATTTAAAACCTAGCAACTTTTTGTCTAACTGAAAGGCAAACAAATACACCGAAATAACGGAGAAAAAGACAAATGCTAGCTAAGAAAGAGAAGACAAGTTAAGTAGTAGGTATTTGATTTAGTTTTAAAAATTGACCACGCAATTAATTCTCCATAAATTGAAACAAATATATTTTAATTTTATGCTTTCTAACTATAATAGAATAGTAATCTTCTTAAAAGTTCATAAAAATTTACATAGTTTTGAATTTTAAAGTTTAAATTGTGTCATCAATATTTGACGTATTTAAAATCTAGCAACTTCTTGTCTAACCGAAAGGTAAATAAATACACGGAAATAACGGAGAAAAAGACAAATGCCAGCTAAGAAAGAGAAGACGAGTTAAGTAGTAGGTACGAGATTTAATTTTAAAAATTGGCCATGCAATTAATTCTTCATAAATTGAAATAAATATATTCTAATTAAAAGAGAGACAATGACCAAATAAGATAAAAAAAAGAAGAAGATTAAGTATAGTTAAGACCTGAATATGTTAACCACACAATTAATTTGCCCCAAAAAAAAAATAATTATTTAATGCCATGCGAAGTTCAGATCCACTGTTCTATTTCAAGAATTAGGAAGGTGTTTGGACATTAAAGTAAAAATGATTTAGAAATACTAAATTGGATCAGATAATTTCTTCAACCATTAATCCTTCAAAAATATACTAGAGATTACCTTGGTCTTGAAAATAATGAGAAAAACAAAGAAGCATACTCATGACTGTTTGGGCAGTTACAACCAGTACACATAGGAACTTGATTTGTGAACTGCTAACACTGTGAATTTATCTAGAAACTAAAAGCAAGCGAAAATGGTAACTCAATGGCGGTTAAGTACTATGCCACGGTTGAAGGGGATCCTGCTTTCTTCCTCATCCCCTTCCTCATCATGGGACAAGGGAGACATTTGAAGGGGCTCAAAGCTGTGTGATGAAGGTGCTGCCTCCATTGCATGGTTGAAACCAGGGTTGAAGTAGTTAATGTTCATGGGGTTGGTGGAAGCACTTGAATTGTTGGAGAATGATGGCTGCACAGGTACATTCATGTATGGTTGATAGTGCTGTTGTTGCTGTTGCATGTTCTGAAGAGCACTTGCATATGCCAACTTAGCATTTATCAACTGATTTTGCACCATAGCAAGCTCTCCTTGCAGCGATGCCACCTGAAAATATAACACAATCAGATTCATGAATTAATTTTTTTTAACATAATCAAAGAAGCACCCGTTCATTAAAACTTGTCTATATATTTGTACTTTCGCAGATAACTGAAAGTAGAAAAAGGCTAGGTGCATTAATTAAGCCTGTAATTAAAAAGTAATCATTTTTATAATAATTATTTAAATTCATACTTATAATAAATTTTAATTAATCTCATCAGTATAAAAATTTGTACATATTGCCCAGTTTTTTTTTTTTTTAATGTACACACGTCTAATAAATATAGTTTTAAAATAAGGGAAATGATAACCTTAAGTTGAAGATAAATAATTGGAAATAATGATTTTTTATTATATTAAAAATATATAATAAAGTTTATTTTGAGTTAAAAATTTATTTTAAAATGTTTAATTAAAACCAGAGGGATTGGAGTTAATAAAACAGTAAAAAAAAGTGGCAAAAAAATGATTAAAAAAACAATATTCATGAAACACCTGTTGCTGCAAAGCAAGTACAGTGGAGACGCAACCATAAACAGGATCAGCAAGCCTAGCCTGAGCCTCGTACGTTATAGTAGCCACCGCTTCACGGCGGCGCTCCATCGGAATATGCAACAAGAGCTTTGCAACATTGCTTGCACCAAACACTTTGTGCACAGCTGCAAAGCGTGCAGGACCTTGGTCTGAACTAAAGTAAGGTGCAAAAGTGCACGCACCATGGCACTTCCTTCTCAAGAACTTGCAAGCCCCACATGGAGGTTGTGATGGTGGCGCCCCCATGGCTCGCCTTAAGGCTTTGCGCCTAGCTACACCGGAAGAGCCATTGCCACCCACTTGTGCCTCAGCCATCTGTTTACTCCAGTGATGGTGTTGATATGGTAATGGTTATCACAAAATGTGTTCTATATATAGAGGGAGGGAGGGGGAGGGGGGGGGGGGGGGGTGCACGTTAGTCGCGTGAGTGGGTTGGCAAGGTGAAATTCTAAGCTCTTTTATTTATTCTTAATTTCCTCTGTTTTCTTTGGAAAAGAAAGAGGAGTTTGGTTGGTAAGGCAATGTGAGCAAAGGGGGTGAACTCAATAACTGATCAGGAGGATACTGTGGGTCAGTTAGTGTTATTATTATTACAAAAATGATAGTAATATGCTGATGTATTATTTTAAATAATTTTTTATTTTTAAAATTTTATTAAAAATTATAGGAGTAGGATTTTATTACAATGGTGTAAGTCTAAAAATTCTTATACTAATTCTGAACCTTTCATTTAATTACATTTAATGGATTATAATTTATTACTTTACCAATCATTAGATGTAAGTTAAATGAAAGATTCATATTGTGTTTAAAATTTTTTAGATTTACACTAGTGTAAGAATATCTTTCTCTAAAATTATAATATTATAAAAATGATGTTATTAATTTAATAATTTTTTTATATTTTTATAATTTTTAATAAAATTTGACTAATAAATAAAAAGTGTTAAAAATATTTTATTATAAAAATATTAAATAATGTCCAAAAATATAAATATTTTGTTAAAAAAATGTAAAAATATACTCATTACTATATTTTTTAATGTGATTTTTAATTAAAAAATATTACTTCTTTCTATTAATTTTATAAAAAAAATGAATAAATTATTATGGTAAAAAATAATTAAATTAATTATATTTTTTATAAATATAAATTTTATTTTAAAATATTCATAATATTAAATAATATAATAAGTAATTTATATATTTAGTGACAATAAAAAAGGATGGCATAAAATAAATTTAATAATTAATAAATTTTAAATTTATCCTATATATTTTTATAATTAAGAAAAATAAATATTTTATTTTATTTCTTATAAAAAGAATTGAGAGAGTATATATAATAAAAAATTAATAAATAATATTTTTATTAAAAAATGTAATATTATTAATGTATTAAATTATATAGTTTTAATAAACATTTATCATATATATATTTACTATGTAATTTTAAATATACATTAAAATTAAAAAAATATTGAAAGGTTTTATTAGATGAAATATATTAAGATAATAATAAAATAGTGGTTGTGTGTGAAGCTTGTCTTTGCGGAGCTGCTCTTCGCGTGAGGGTTGGTAAAACTAAACGCATGGGTTTCATGGCCGAACACATCCAAGATTGCCTTTTTCTTTTTTCAGTTTTTCATGTTACTCAATCAATAATATATAGAATTAATTAACCCAGCTTTGTCTTTAATAGCTGAAACTGAAAGTGAAAAAAATTGCTAGCGACGCATTTTTATAATATTTTTTTTTATTAATTAAAATTTATTAAAAATATTTAATTAAAAATTATAAAAATTATGTTCTTTTTTATTTTTAAATTAATATTTCTTTTTCTTATTTTTTAATTTTTAATAAATTTTAATTAATAATAAATAATATATTAAAAAAGTGTCTTAAAAAGTATAATATTAGCATTCTTTATTAAAAATGAAGTAACCATAAATGAAAAGAAAAATAATTTTTTTGAAATATATTTTATAAATATTTAAAATTATATTATTTTTTCTAAATTTTACAGTTAAATCTATTTTTCATTTAAGGTTAATATTTATTAATGATAAAAATATATTAAGTTAGGCTAGACTTTAATTAAATAGACTTAACTTACTTAAAAATTTTAAAGTTTAAACCTGATGTATTATTTGTTATAAATTTTTATTAAGCCTAAATTTAGCTTTTGTAAAAGCATGTGTTAACTTTTATATTAATACCTTTAAATAAATAAATTATTTTATTATTTTTAATTTGAGAAGACATTTTATTAATCTAAAAATAAAAAAAAAGTTAAATATAATATAAATAAATATATAAAAAAATAATAGCTGAAATGAACTAAAGATAAATGTAATTGAAATAGCAAACTAATATTATGTATATAATATAGATCAAATAACAGTAATATAGAAGACTTTAACAAGCAAAACACTTTTTTTTTTATAATATATGTAACACTCTTTAACTTCAAACAAAAAGATAAGAATTTTTAATTTAAAATTATTTATTTTATTTTATTTAATATAATATTATATTTTAATTTTTATATAAAATTATTTAATATTACTATAAATTTTATGAATTTACCTAATAATTTTTTTAAATTTAAGTATAATCTATTTAATTAATTAAATATATAAAAAAATTTAAATTAAACTTGTTACTTAAATAGATTAAGTTAAATTAAACTTTAAAAGAAATAAGTTGAAAGCCCTTAGTCTGATAGTTTGACGTATTTTTATCTCTAACATTCATTTTATCTTATTCAAGTTCAATACAAATTTAATTTATTTTTGGTCCTCCAACTTTTGTAGTTTGTTTGATTTTAGTACTTTTAATTTTTAATTTTTTTTTATTTAGCAATTTTTGTCCATATGTTATGCTGTCGTCCAATTTTTAATGGGAATAGTATAATCTTCTTCTTCTCCTCCTAGCCAGAATCTGCCGTTGTGGACGGAATTCTGCCATTATCGTTACTACATCCTCCTCCTATTACCTCCCTCCTCTACTTCTCCTTCATCGACCCCTCCTTTACTTGCCCCTCTTCCTTAGTTGCCACCATCACCACCCCTTCTCTGCACTTTAATGTCTCCAACCACCTAGTCTTGACCTGAGAAGTCCTCCTCTGCGATGTACATTGGCGCTTCCTCTACGACTTCACCTAAGGGGAGAGAGACAAGAAGGAGAAGGAGCATTTAAGGAGCAGACGAAAGAGGTTAGGGAGGCGACAAAAGGGGGGATGCATAGGCAATGGCGAAGGAGAAGAGGGAGATGCAGTGAGTGACGGTGACAGACGACACTTAAATCTACACTCTAAGTTTGTGTTTTTGAGGAAGAAGAGGAGGATGAGAGGGGGTGGAGGCAACATAGGAGACAACAGAGGTTATTGTAAAGAAGAGAGGAGTGGGAGAAGTAATGGAAGAAAAGTATGCAGTGGCAACAATGGCGGATTCCAGCTACCAGAGAAAAGGAAAAAGAAGGCCTAAAATCTCATATTTAAAAATTGAACAAGTATAAAAGGTAATAGACTAAAAGACAATTAAGATAACATACGTTTGACTTTTTCGGTCAAATCCGTCCAAAATTAGTTTTCCACCTTTTGATTTGTTTGGATTCTACCAAGTCATAAACTTATGCCCATCCCTACTTTTTTAAAATATTTACCTTTTTCTTTTCTTAATAGCTTACTAATAAATTAAAGGAGCATTGAATGTTATAACGTTAGGAAAAGGGTTTCAAATTATGTCACACAAAAATTACATTGCCATTTCTATCCTCCAATCTCCACTTTAGACAAAATATATATTATTATTATTATTTTACCATTATTTTTTCAACCTTTTAAAATTCATTTATTTCAATAAGTCTAAATCATATAATAAATTTTTATCAAAAATAAAAAAATTATAAAATTCAATACATTGATAACATTAAATGTTATAATTTTAGTAAAAAATTAGTATTTACTAATTTTTAGCATATATCATTAAGCACATACGTTAGAATAATCGTTATAAAAAACTCACATCTTATATATATTAATCTTATACTATTTTTTCACTTATAAATATAAATAAAAACACACAGACATTTTAAATATTTTAATTTACTATTTTCTTTTATTTATAAATATAAATAAAATTGTATAAACTAATTTAACCCATAAACTATTAAGGTCAATTTACAAAATTTATTAATTAAATAAAGGATTTTGTTAACTTCAATCCAATCTTAAAGTAGTTAATAATAGTAAAATTTTATTAGAAAGAAAAATATTTATTATATTTTTATAACTTTAATATAGTAATTATATATTTTTTCATAAAAATTTTCTATTTGTAAATATTTAAATTCAATTCTAAGGGCTGAAATTAATAATTAAAGAGTCTTAAGTAATTGTCTCAAAAGTAAGATTTTATTGTCCTTGTAATCTGTTTTATTTAGACTTATTTACAATTCTTTGATTTTAAAAATTATTTATTACTTTAACCCTTTTACGCTTACTTATTATATTATATGTTATAAATACATATAGATAACAATTTTATCATTCACTATAAATTTAAATTTAATTTTTAAAATTATTTCAAGTAATTATAAGTATCTTAAATTAATTTTCTTTTAGAAGAAAACAACTCATACAGCAGACAAGTCAGATGTCTAGTAATAAAGTATTTATAGTTTTATTCAAAATATACATTTTTAGAAATGTATGTTATTACACTGTCATTTCAATAATTGATAGTATTTAAATTATGTAGACATTTTTTTTGTTTACTTTGTATTTTAATTAAATAATGATTTTTACCTGTCACTTTATTATTATTTTTTTAACTGTGTTTTTTATGTTTGACATTAAATTTTTGTAACTTCCTGTTAGAAAAGAAAAACAAATGCAAAAAATAATAAATAAATAAAAAAAAACGGTTGCTATATAAAAAAGAGAAGGAAGACTAAGTAGTGGGATGCAACTAAGATGTAAAAATAGACCACACAATTAATTTTTTATAAATAAAAAGAGAATACTTTAAACGGTGTGAAAATTATACTCTTTTTGCTACAATAACGTATTTTTTACTCACTTTTTTTTTTGTTAATTTTGTTATAAATTTTGAATATCAAAATTGTTACTACCCTTTGTATTACCTTATTTAATTTTTAGATTTTCCTTGAATACCTATTTTATAAATACCTATTTTACATTTATACAAATTTCTTTATTTTCTCAGATAAACTTTTAATTTTTTTTAAAATACATATGTTTATGTTTATAAAATTCATTATCTATTATTTTCATTTCTCTTGGTCAAAAT